TCTCAGGCAAGCTCATGTGCCCAATAGCAAACCAAAAAAAATAAAATAAAATTACACAAATCTATGTTTTAGTCACTTCAGTGATATTAAAAAAAAAATAAAATAAACTTTCCATGTCTTAGTAGCTACCCATTTACAAATCATCTCAAAGGATGGGTTGACTCCATATCCTAGGGACAGGGACCATCTTTGGCACAAACCCCAAGAGCTACCTGATAGGTCACTTTAATTTCATCCTCCGAAATGGAACTGTTCACATGAAGGTGCTTGAATAAGCCTGACCTTATGACAACCCTGAGTAAGAGGTCAACTTGGGCCAACACGATAATAAATGTTAGCACCACAGAAAACAGACAGAATTAAAGTCTCTATTGTGTGTCCTAGTCCAGAAATGAATCTCCTACTCAGCTGTCACAATTCAAAAAGAATTCCACTCAAATTTTCTAAATTATAAGAAGTTCATATATATCTAAAACATTTAAGTCTATTCTTCATGCTTACAAGAATTATTCACCTGTAAGTTTGAATATGTACAGAACTATTGAACTGGGTTTATGACATAGAGAATCACACCAAAATTTCTTGCTTCTCTGTCATTCTTGGACATTTGGCAAAAATCACTTTAAGACAAGCCCTGGACCACTATTTAGCCTAGATAACTTACTTAATCCCTATCCTTCATGCACTTAGGTCTCCTGTTCTCCAATTACCTATCACATCACTCTGCATATAACTATGACAGAGGAAGTGCTCAATAAATAATCTTTGGATAAAGTAATAAAAATATCCCTGACCTCAAGTAGTTTATATGAGGAGAGATAAAACATCAATAAAACTGGGAAAAGAGGAGACGTGTAAGAAGAATACCACCTGGTGGTGTGGTATTTAAAGCAGCTGGATCCCACATGACCAACCTCACATCAGAGTCTGGACCCTGCAGATTGAAAAATACATCTGGCATGTGTGTATGTGTCCAAAATTCTAAAAAGAGTGAGAAATGGAGGAGAAGGGATTGTGGCAGGACCATTCCCAATGGCAGATGCTTTCTCACTTTTCCTATCTTCATCTCTATCTCTGCTATGAACACACATGCCCTCTGACAAATTTTTTTAATGCTGTAATCTAAAGGAAGTAAGCATTTGTTCTTACCCAAGCAAAAAATGCACAAAGGAAAATACATTGATGAGAGTTCTCACTGAGAGAGGAGCAGACCTGCCTTGAGAATATTGTTAATTAATGCTTGACCCTGTTTCAACTGAACTAATTAATGCTGCCCAATTGCAGAGCTGGTTACTGCCTTTGGGGGCCATTGGGTTATTGATGGTGATTCAGATAAGCAGAATAGACAAACTTAAGCCCAAGTAGGAGCCACTGGATTTTATCTTTTAGTTATCTCTGTGCCTGAAATCTCCTAAATCCTCCCTCGTGGTTTTCCTCTGTGTCAACCCAAGTGTAGATGAGCTCAATCCAGCAGCCAGTGCCTCTCTCCATGGGCCTTGGTCTTTGGCTGAATGAGCGAGCCACGACTGTAGACAGGTCAAACACAGAGAGCCTTTTCCTTCACATAATGGATTGAGGCATCAAACACATCTGTATAACCCTTAGTTAGTTATGTTTCCTGCTTTGGAATGTTTTTATTTAAAAAAAAAAAAAAAAGATGTTGTCTTTCTACATGAGGTTAGGGTATCTTTTTTAAAAATTAATCTATAATGTCTTGAGCCGAAGAACGGCAGCATATTGTGATATATACAAATTTTTTTAAAAAAATACTAACCATCAGTCTCAAGAAGAGCTTTTGAAATGCAGCTCAGATGAGCAATAGTGAAAATCAGGTTGCTTTGGCTCTCCTTGGTACAGGATTCAGGTAAAAATTACTATTCGTCTCAACTGAGCCTTCTCTGTTCTACCTCTACCTAGATCATAAATATAGCTTCTTTAGCCTCACTTTATTATTCATTTCTTTTCTTTTGTTTTCACATTAAAAGAGTATTAATCTCATATAGGTGGTAGTGAATGTGTTTATTGATTTTACTCTAATTAGCTATCTTATTAAGTATTTGTTCAATTCATGTTTTTAAGTGGACAGTTTTTCTCTTTTTTGACATAAATTATTATTTTCAAGAATAGAATTCATCTGTGATCCCATCTTGCTAGATTAACTCAGTTTTCTCACCGATGTCATCTTCCTTTCCTCCTTGACCAGGTCATCAATACTGGTCAAATATTTGTCAGTCAACACATTGGTATAAGGACACTTTTACCTCTTTCTACCTAAGCTTTTGTTGCTATAAGAACAAATCTTTGCATCTGTGGTAGAGGCTTATGTGTAAATCTCACTGCCTCTACTTACCCTGCCTTCTTAACGATGGTTGGCTAAATGCCTCCTTCATGTTAGCTGCCTTAACTGCAGTTGGTAAAGCATTGCTAGACCCCTCTGACTCCTTACACAGTAGACTGCCTTTAAAGCTGCTTTCACAGGTACCTGTGAGAATGTTGCAAAGCATGTATGGAAACTCAAGTCACAATGGTATCCTTTTGTTTCCTTATAGTCTTGTCTGTGATCCATTGAATGCTTTGTCTCAACTGCTCCTGTGTGGTTGCTTTGTCGGATTCTCAGGCAGTGTGTGGCACTAAGGAGAAAATTCTAGAATACTGGTAGAAAAGACTGCGTGTTCTTATATTTCTCCTGCATTTGTTGTCCATTATTTGTATTTTCTTTCTTCTGTGTGCAATGAATGATCTGCATGTATCATTAAACTAAACTCAGTAAGGCTAGACTTTTTTTTTTTTCTCCAGCATAGTCAACTTGTGTTCTTATTGGCAAAATGTTAAATTGTTTCAAAAACAGTCTTTTCAAATGGTTTCTCCTGTTCAAATTTATTGATACAGGGAAGAGATTTCTTTAGTATTTTTAAAACATCATAGCAGTTCAAATAAAAATTTTTTTCATTTTTTTTTACAAACCAGCCAAACCTAGAATTTTCTCTCCTGTTTTTTGAACATGTATTACATCTGATGATTGGTTACCTATATTAACTATAACTGCAGGTATTTCGTGCATATTGAGAACTTACGTTTTTAAATTTCAAAGCAATTAATGTTATCTACTTTAAGGATCTCTGAGACTTTTTAATTCCTAAAGTTCTGGAATATTTAATTCCTCAGTCTATGTTGAATTGGTATTTATTACAAAGGTTAGTATGTTCTAAAATACTTCACTCTTATTTTCATATGAAACATGTGCTAACTCATAGACTACCAGCTAATTATTTCAACCAAACCCTTAAGAGCACTGTATATATTTCAAGCAGCACAATTAAACTACATAGTCACCACTCATTGCTTAAATGGTCTGTGTACTATGTGTGAAAAACAATGAAGCCAAATGGCTTTGTGTTTAGGGAAAAAAAGAAAAAAGAAAAAGAAAACCCCCCTAAGCACTTTCCTGGTGGTGCAATGCTTAGTAATGTGCTGCTCTATTTCCCTCACTCCTAGTAAGTTCTGTAGTAATAAGCAGAAGCTCTTCAGAATGTACACCTCACGGAAGCAGAGGTACCAGCATCCTGGCTGTTGACATGAGATTTGAGAATGCCAACTAACCTCAGGTGCATGACCAGGTCACACCGCCACCCCACCTGAGCCCTGTTCAGAGACTCACTCTTCCTAGGGACTTTTCGAATAAGGTTTCCAACCCGCTCGTAACTTTCCTTGTTGCCTGTTGCCTGCTTTGATCCTCTCCACCACTGGGACAAACCGACAGGTTCCCGGAGTCCTGGCAGTCAGCCCTGTACGCTTCTGCTGGTTGGACAACTGTTGAGCTGCTGCACGCTCAGGATTGTTACGGCTCAGTTGCCATATTGTGCCTGAGGCGAGAATTTGTAGGCTGCTTATCTTATGAAGGGCTAACACCCTAATTAGGCATTACAATAACTGCAACGTTCTAAGTCCTAGAAGATTATGTGGGGTTATGATGAGGCCATGCAGTTTCCTGGCAGGAAACAGCCAGTAGCAGACTGCATGCTGGGCCATTTGGATAACTTTCACATCTGGCTCCTAGAGAGGGAGGAATTACCTTGCAGGGCGCCTACACAGGCTCCCTTGCACATGCCGCCCAGCTGGGAATGTGAGATTGCATCCTAAGAAAGATGCTCCAATCAATAATCACCAGGACCTTTTGGTCACTTTCTCCAGAGACCTCCTGGCAGTCTTCCTAAAAACACTATTACAACTAGTCTTCCACTAAAATAGTATTTGTAGATATCACAAAAAAGCAGAGAAATAATGAAAACTTTAATGTACAATGATTTTATATTTTTAATCAGTGTGTGTTTTTAATAATAGCTAACTAATTAATTTAATAGTCATCTAATCAAGATACTCTGTTGATTTCCAAAGATAGAAAAACTTATGAAAGTGAACTTTTTATAAGGGGACACAAGAACAAATGCCTTAGAAAGGAAAATTTTGTCTAAACTGGTTAAAAAGTTCTGGATTGGGACCTTATTCATAACTTTCTTACAATTATGTCAAACAAGAAAGAGAAAACATCGCAGCTTTCTTCTACCTTAGTGTATAATATGTTTACTCAATGTGAAAACAGTTCTTGAGATGTTTAAATAGATATTAAAAATATTTTTTAGTTTAAAGAAGTTAAATGGTACCTAGAATTCATTTATATCAACTCTAAGTGCTTTAAATGATATTGAGATTCAAAGAATATTATTCCCACTTTGCATTAATTCATAGAATTAATATCAAAGTGTTTCAGAGGGTCAATTTTTGAAAAATATCAGCATAGGAGCAACTTCTTAAATATTTTGTAATCATAAGCAAAATATTTAACTATGGTGAATTTGATGCTAATACTTTCATTTTTAATATTTTTTGCCATTTAATAATTGAATTGTTTCAAAAGACAAAAATTAAGTTCAGAGAAAATGATTTTGTGATTTTTCTTCACTTTCCTGTTCATTAATTTAGTTGGCACAGGAAAGAAACATATCTTGAAAGATTGAGAAAATGGTTTGGTATTAATATTAACTAAACCCAGCCTTCCATAGTAATTAGCATTCGATCGTTCCAGAAAGGTAATAGGTAAAATAGAGGAAAACAGTGAGGACACTGGTAATGACAGTCATGTCAACCTGAGCCATTCATTAACCTAAATAGTACAGAAGTGAGAATATGCCGCCTGAACCAGCTCATAATAAATTTAAATTATGAAGCGAATGTGTTGAAACCAAAGACTTTTGACATTTTTATCAGAAAAATTTTAAAAGCTTACAAAAGTAGACCTTTTGGGCACTATTCCTTTCATGGATTTCTTTAAGTAATAGAAGGCTTTTGGAGCACCCATTCCCACATAACCTAGTAGTGAATGGAGCCAGACACCAGATAGCCAACAGTGGTTTGAGTCCTGGCCCATGCCGCTTGAAAAACATGCTGAGCGCATGTGCATGCATGCCCCAAATCCTGACAGGTTGGAGAAATGGAGGAGAAGGGATCATGGTGTGACCACATCTTACTGGGGGAGGGTTGCTTTCACTCTCTCTCTCTCTCTCTTTCTCTGTCTCTGGCAAATGAACATGCCCTCTGGCATCAGAAAAAAAATATTAATATAATTGAAGGCATTTGGATGACATGGTGAACCTAGCCTGTGAGTAAAAAGATGCAGTTTTATGATATTATTGTTAATCACATTTAATGTAATCTCTCATTTAAGCATACAGTTATAAAGTACAGATAGGTCCTTCAACTGATGAGACTGTTGTAAAGAACTCTTGAACCCTCCTGACCTCATCACAAAACCGCCCAGCCTGTTCTTTGCATGCGCCTTCAGCTACTTATGCTGGACTTAGCCGTGTCGCATTTCAGAGGGAGCTGTCAGTTGCATGGTCAACTCATTTGTTGTTATCAGAACTCTCACCACCATAGTTCATGATTTGGTTTGTTTTCATGGGAACACACATACTATGTGATGCCTTTTAAAATACCATTTGTTACACAACTAGGCATGGAAAAATAAATGTTACTGTTTCTGTTAGCTATAAAACACATATCCACTAAACACATTTGCTGTTGGCATGCTGCAGTTGGGGACAGTGGACATTGCGGTAAGTGGAAAAAACAAGACCTCCACTTCGTCTCAGACAATCTTGATCCATGAGAACACTGCTTCATACCCCACCAAGGCTGCAGCATGACTTCAAGTAGCTGCTCCAAGATACTCTCTGTGAAACCCATTGCCCCATCATTCCTTTAGGCCCTGCAGAGTCCTGGGCCTCTCAGATAATAGTGTCACCTTTCATGAATGGCACAAGAACTTTGCAAATGAAACAAGAAAACAAACAAAATAGGTACACAAAGCTTCTTACAGTTTATTTGATTTCCACCAAAATCTTTTAGCTATGTTGCTCCTTTTATCTCCATGTTAGGGACCAGGTCTCCAAAATCCATGTCTCTTTGATTCCAACTTGCCCTTCCCGGCACATCACACCACATCTCTTGATTAGGAAAGTGTGAAGATGGGCTTTGGATTTCGTTGCTGCTGTTAATGCATCCTTTATCAGCCTACAACGATTCAATCCTGGTCAGTATCAGAAAACTAAATGTCTGAACAAATAGAATTTACCAGTAGCTGCCACAGCAAATCAATAACTTGTTTGATAGCAGGAAATTGTGTTAGTGAACATAACATCTCATTCCATTAATCAGTCATCACACTCATTATTTGTTGGGGCTGTTCTAACTTGTGTGGTTTTTGTCTCACAAGAATGAATGTACACATTTGAAAGATGTCATGTTAAGTACTGAATGTTTAAGATATGCAGTGCTACCAACTGCTATGAGATTGCATGAATTTATGGATACCCCAATCTTGCCTGGAGTATAAAAATGCATGCCTAATGTAGGTATGTATGTAACTGTCATCCCTGTTTTCCTATAGAAACGTTTAGAAATGACAAAAAAAGATACGTTTCCAAATAAAACTTCTCTAAATTCTGCAAAGTTGAGGTTAAAGCTAAAATCACCCAACTGTTTTTAAAGTGAGTTCCAGACCAGTTCTTGGTTGTCTCCAGTGTGCTATTGTGGACAAACTGATATATTTGGTCTCAGTCCTTTCTGTGAGGAATCCAAGAAGGGTGTACATACCTGTAAAATGAGAATGACTCGAAGAATGAGAGCAGATTCAATAAAGCTCAATTTTTCAATAAGGGAAAAATGCATTGCTATGTTCCTTCTTGCTTCAAACATCTTTTTCTTTTGAAATATTTGACCATATTCAATTTCATCAAAGTATTTGCCTAAGTGAAGTAAAGGGAACTGCTTGACACGGAATAACCATGCCTCTGTTCTTCACAGTCAGAAGCTAAGTTTTAAGGAGCGAGTGCGCATGGCTAGCCCGAGGGGCCAGAGTATTAAGAGCAGACAAGCCTCTGTTGGTGACAGGAGGTCCCCAAGCACCGACATCACAGCCGAGGGCAGCCCAACCAAAGTACAGAAGAGCTGGAGCTTCAACGACCGCACCCGCTTCCGGCCCTCCCTGCGCCTCAAAAGTTCTCAACCCAAACCAGTGATAGACGGTAAGCCCTGTTTTTCCATAACCATTTTTAATTTGATAGGCTATCGTGAATGAGATTATAAAGTAATTAATTCTCCATGGTACCACTTGAATATAGAGGGAAACAACCCCAAGGAAAGAATTGTTAGTTTATTTTATTGAAAGTTTATTCATTGCCATGGGCAAGAGCTCAGAACATCAGTTTACTTTTAGAAGTGACTTTGGTAGCTAAATCTACATTTCAAAGCCGAACAAAACTGTTCATTCTTTACTCATAGCCACAGTGCATTTATTTCTCAGACAAGGCCCATGTCATGATCAATATGACTGTCATCTGATATATATGCTATGTCTGAGCAGCAAAGGTCCAAGAACAACCACAGTAAGAAGAGTGACAGCATCTTTCTGGTCAACTGTGATTCTGAGTTTCCCAAATCTCACATGCTCCATCTACCTCTAAATCAGAAAGTGTTGCTTATCTTCCTCAGAGAGATGCCTGTTGGAAGTTCTTTTGAAGTTTTCAATGATAAATCCAGTTCTTCTCCCAAGGGGAATTAACCTATTTTATTTATCATATTATGTACCAGAAGTTCAGTTGCCAACACTTTTTATTAAATGCCACATTTTCATGTTTATAAAATAAAACGTTTTCTTTTTCACTTAAGATTAGCTTGGCTTTCCTTTTAAGTATGCCCCCTGGGATCTCTTATCCTGGGCAAAGAACCAAAATCACATAGCATCTTCCATTAACACATCAGTCCTTCTATTCTCATTCCCTAGAATAACCTGTGTTTTCCCAGGCCTGAAAGCTTGAGGGACAAAGTTACAGCCAAGGGTCATAATTATGGTGATCCTCAGGCTCCCCACAGTGAACCTACTAGAATCTCAGCCCACGGGTCCCTCCCTCTTCCTCAGAGATCCTTGGGAATACCTCGTCTACTCTCAGAGAGCTCTTCTTCATTCTCCACAAGCCCATCGATGCCATGCTCTCCACAGAGACCATCAGCTGCTGACCTGACGTGGCTCCTCCTGGTGGAGTTTGCAGCTCCATCTAAGCTGCAGAACATGACAGTCCTGCTATGCTGCCCCTCTTTCTGTCACTGTGTAGAAAAGGCTTCTTCCAGTAATACTGGACACTCCTCCATCAAGCCACTTGCAGCCTCCTGACCCACTTGTGGCATTGATATTCAGTGTCTATACTCTCCTCCCTAAGAGATTGGCTAAAAAACTTTGGGAAGCTGAGTCAAGAGTTGCCGATAACAGGGCTTTAAGTTGAACCCAGAATAGATTTGCTGAAAATAAGTGGGTACACACTTTTAGGAGGACAATTTGGTAAAATATATCAAAAGTCTTTGCATTTGCCTAAGCCTAGACACATTCTACTCTCCAGTTCCATTACTAGGATATGGTTAATATAATGAGTCAACAATGAAAATTAGAAATGATGCCATAAATTAAAAATTATTAGCATAGGGACCAGCAGATTGTGGAATGGTTACATTGCCAGACTCCCACAGTTAACCACAGTTCAAGTCGCTGATCTAGGAGTTTAAAATCATGCTGGTTAAGTGTGCATGTGTGCCCAAAATCCCAAAAGGAGACTAGAGGAAAAGGGATTACAGTGTGGCCATCCCCCCAGGTAATGTCTCACTTTCCATCTCTCTGGTGAGTGCAAGCACCCTATCACAAAAATCTCTATAAAATAAAATTATTAGCATGGAAGGCTGATCATAAAAAATTAATTTTTCTTTTTTTTATATATAGCTTAGATTTATAAGAGATCTTTTAAAAATTTGTGGAAAACACATATGAAAAAACTACGCATGGATTTCACAGTTTTTTTATACCAAATTAGCTCTTACTTTGTGGGGACAGAAGATGGTGTGGCAGTTAAGGTAGCTGGATCCCACATGGCCTACTGCACAGTTTGAATCCTGGACCCTGTGGCCTGGAAAACATGCCAGGTGTATGTGCACATGTGCACATGTGCCCAAAATCCCGAGAGGAAAACAGAGGAGAAAGGATTGTGGTGTGGGGAAGAGATTTCTCACTTTCTCTCTCTTTCTCTGTCTCTTTCTGGCCCCTCTCGCTCGCTTCATCTGTCTCTTTCTGACAAGTACACACACACCCAATAGCTAAATAAATAAATACAATAAACTTTTACTTTAATTCCATTTCTTTAGAAACTGTTTTTAAGAATTATTTATTAATTTTATTTATTATTTATTAAAATTTGCTATAGGGCATATGTGCTCACTAGAGAGAGAATGGAGAGGGGCATAAGAAAGCAAGCCACCAGAGATTTGAACCACAGTTGGCCACATGGGAGGCCAGCACCTCAACCATCACACCACCTGCTGACCCCTATAGACATTTTTTTTTAATTTGCCAGAGAGCACATGTGCTCCCCAGAGAGATGAAAAGAGAAGGAGAGGGTGTAAGCACCTCTCAATGGGTCATAGTCACAGCACAATGACTTCTCTTCCATTTCTCCATCCTAACGAGATTTGGGGAATGTGCACACAAGTGGCTGCCATGTTTTACAAGCCACCAGCACTTAGATTTAAACCTCCCAGTAAGCCCTGGGTGATCCAGCTTCCTTAACCACCAAGCCTCAGTACTGGCCCTCTGCAACTTTTATAAGCTTTTCTGTGTGTGTGTATGCACTTATAAGAAATGTATATAAAGTTGTGCATTTGTAGTGAATGGTCTGGAAAAACTTACAATGTATGAACATTTACTTTAAGTGGTAAGATTACAGTTATTTTTGTTTCTTCATTTCCTTCATTTTCCCCAATATTTCTACAACAAACATGTAAAGCTTTTGTAAAAGGAAGGGAAAAAAAGATTTGCTGGTGAGAAATACCCTTCCATTCACATGCTGCCCCCTCCCCTCCCTCTACGTGAGGGGCCCTGGGAGCTGGTGCTCTCCAAACCTCTCCTTAGGCTGACTTTTCACTGAGTAGTAGGAGCACCAATGTCAGTGATGGGGACCAGCCTTCACTGAGTGCAGACATAAACTGGTTTAACCTTTGCATTACAAATAGAACTATATTCTTTTGCCAGGGCTGCGTAACAAAGCACCACAGGCTGGTGGCTTATACAATGAAAGTTTAGCCATGTTCTCCCTTCGTCTTCACATACTCTTTCCTTTGTAATCACGTGTGTCCAAATTTCCTCCTTTTAGAAAAACACCAGTTATGGGACCAGCAGTTAGCGTAATGGCTATGTTGCTGGACTCCCATGTAGTCAACTACGGTTCAAGTCCTTGAACCAGTGACTTGAACTCATGCTGGGTGCCTGTGCATGCGTGCCCAAAATCCCGAAAGGAGAATGGGGGAGAAAGGATTGCAGTGTGGCCATCCCCCCTGGGGCTGATTTCTCACTTTCTGTCTCTCTGTCTCTCTCTATCTTTTCGGCAAACACACGTGCCCTATAGCAAAAAAAAAAAAAAAAAAAAAAAAACAAAAATCCCAAAAAAAAAAAAAAAAAAAGAAAACAGAAAGAAAAACACCAGTCATATTGGATTAGGGCCCACCTTACTAATATCATTTTAACTTAAGCACCTTCTTTAAAGATCCTATCTCAAATAGAATTGTCACTGAACTCAAATCAGGTTCTCTCACCCAAGTGCTATAAAACCAAACCATAAACACATGGTGTGATGAAGGAAAGTACAGCTTTATTGCAATGCGCAAAGCAAGGAGAGCGGGCAGCTCATGCTGAGACGACCCGGTCTCCCCAAGATGTTCCCCACATGCGTTTTTTTGTTTGTTTTGGGGAGTCTTTTTAGAGAGATTTTTGCTATAGGACACAGTTTGTTTTTGGGAGTCTTTTTGGAGAGATTTTTGCTATAGGACACGTGCACTCACCAGAAAGACAGAGAGAGACAGAGAGACACAAAGTGAAAAATCACTCCTGAGGGGGACAACCACATCACAATCCTTTCTCCTCCATTCTCTTGGGATCTTGGGCACACTTGCACACACACCTGGCGTGAGTTCAAGCCACTGGGTCTGGGACTCGAACCATGGGCGACTATTTGCCGACTGTCGGTTTTTTTTTTTTTTTTTTTTTTTTTTTTTTTTTTTTTTTTTTTTTTTTTTTGCCCAAATGCGTTTTTAAGGGCAAAATTAGGGGCAGAGGTCCCAGGCGTATGATCAGTTCAGTGATTGGTTCAAGAGGGTGTGATCATCTTGTGGGCATTCTTGATTAGTGAGACTTTAGATAGTCAAATTTCTCTTCAAATTTCTGGAGCCATTCAGCCTGGAGTCTTTGAGCTCGCAACCAGCAGTTTCCAGCCTACAAAACATCTTACATAAACCTTATCTTTCCTTCAAGTGAGAGTTTTAGAGGTCAAATGGCCCTCATTCATACTCTGGGCCATTACAATGTAAATGGACCTTATATTTCAAGAACCTTAGAAAATATACCAGGGGGTCCTTGCTCAGTTTCATAGTCACATTCAGAGGTCCTGAGAGCTTAGGACCTCAACATATGAAGGCGGGGGGCACACTATTCAATTTATAACAGTGCTGCTGCTCACCAGGTCACAGCATCCCTGGTGACCTGAGACACATCTATATCCTCTGCCCTGTCCCTGGGTTCACCCTGTGCTAAAAACACACATATTACACATGAAATAGGTCCACATTCTTCTAATATGGGCTTCAGAAAGCATTCATCTCCATGTTGCAAGGCCCTTATGGTTGACTGAGCACATTTAAATATAAAATTCATAGACTTCTGAATATGGAAAATGAATTCTATTTGTGCTGTTTGGCCAGAGGGAAAGAATTTTTAAAAGACTCGCTAGAGCCGTCAGTATCCATCACAGTACTTGCAGTATCTGCAAAGAGGGCTTGGAGCCAGACAGACAGAAAAGAAGTGCTATTCTCTACCAGATCACAAACAGAAGAAGTCTCCTGTCGTCCATTTTCAAGATCACTTTATATAAGTGCAGTTCTGTTGGTTAGAAAAGAATGGCTTCTTTCTGGTTGAGTCCCATCTTGACTGGTTCTG